GTTTCAGTTTGTTTATAAATTGCTCAACAAAAGCTGCCGAAGCATTTTTCCGGACTCTTCACGTTTGAGATTGAGAATCAGACGTCTCTCTCTCTCTCTCTGCTCTATTCCCAGGTTCCACTCCATCGAGACTGACTGATGAACGTACAGGAAGGACTTGTTCTTGGGAGGGTTATTACCCAGTAGATGGGAGTCTCTCCCTGTGTCCTGGCCAATAATCCTCAGAATAAAATAAAATAAAATCATGGTGGATGTCGCTGTGGGCAAATTGGCCCCGTTTGCCTCTGAAATACACAGTCACTACAGTTTACAATGAAATGCTGTGAAGCGCTTCACTTCGACCGTGCCTTCAGCTCCCCTCTCGACTCTCTACCCCTCCTCGCTCCCTCCCTTCCCTTCCCTCACCCTGACCATTCCCCCCCTCCTCGCTCCCTCCCTTCCCTCCCCTCACCCTGACCATTTCCCCCCAATGCTCGGGTCCTGACCCAACTGTCCAGCGCCTTGGGACGTCCTCCTGAGGTGAAAGGCGCTCTATAAATGAAATCCTGTTGTTGTTGTTGGTAGGCAACCTCCCATCCTAAAAGGTAGCATATCAAATGTAAAGGATTATTAATTATTCTTAATGAATTATTATTCTTATTACAAGGGCAAGGCTAATGGGCTTCTCATTTGCATGTTATACAGGTTGGTTCTTGGAAGTATTTGTAAACCAGTCAGATTATGCTCTCGCTCTGTGAGACAGTCAATTTTACTCATGAGTAAACTGGTGTGTAGAGAGAGAGACACACACAGGTGTGTGATTAGGGCGGAAGGAGGGTTGAAGGATATCTGAAGGTGACTCAGAAAGTGTACAGAGGAGAAATCTTCCACAACAAACAGTCCCCAGCTTCTTGCTGTGAAGTTAATAAATATAAATAATAATCCTTGCACTCGATAAAGCACCTTATCACGTCTTCGAGACGTCTCAAAGCGCTTCATGGAATAGGTTATAGAGTGGAGTGGCTGTGTATTTCGTGGGAGGAACGCGGATGCCAATTGCGCACAGCACTGTCCCACAAACAGCCGTGGATTGAGTGATCAAATAATTGATAATTGATTGACAAGACAATTCCTTCCTCTCACACCGCTCGCTCTCCCTCGCTCTCGGTGTCTGTGGCATTTTATCTGGACTAGGAGCAAAGGTGAAGCTGATGCCCTTCACTGGATTTTAAAAAAAACTCTCCCGCACCCAAGATATCCGCCGACACAGCTGTGTTCCCTTTAAATGAAAACCTAGCCTGTTCCAATATGTGTTAGGTTTGCCTTTGCCTCCCACATACCTTCCCTTCCTGTTCACATTCACCGCCACCCTCTCTCATGCACTCACTCGGCTCCCTCATTCAGTGACGGTTTCTTATGCATCAGAATTAACAAAAAAAACTATTTGCTTGATGATATCGCACTCATCTCTCTCCCCCTCTACCTTCCATCTGCTTTGGACACTGCTGTGCGCAGTTGGCAGCCCGCAAAATACGCAGTCACTCCACTTTACACTCCTGAATGTCCTGTGAAGCGCTTTGAGGTGTCTCAACGACGTGATGAGGCTCTATACCAAATGCAAGGATTATTATGATTAATATTATTTGTATTAATATTACTCCTATAACCTTAGACATCTCAAAGTGTTTCACAGTCACTGTTGTCAAGTACAGTGATTTGTAGGTTAAAAACGCCAGCTCACTCTGCACACAGCAACTTCCCACAGACAGCCGTGTGGGCAGGAATATCTCAATTAGTAAATGACCCCCTTTTTTTTGTTTCTCCCCACCCCTAACAGTGGGTGCATTCAAACTGTCGGAAGCAAATTATTTAATTGTTAAGCCAAGTTTTTTTTTAAAAAAAGTAAAACTAATGATAATTGTAACAGGTGATATGGCTTCTGGAGCCTCTGTGTCTAAGGTGTTTCACAGGATATCTGTAAATAGTGTCGACTGTGGGTGTTTTATGGAGTCCCGTAGCTCAGTGGTTGGAGCACTTGCCTCGCAAGCGAGAGGACAAAGGTTTGATTCCTGGGCAGGGCAAATGTTGGGCAGGTTTCTTTACTCTACACCTGACAGTATGTACGAGCCTGCTTGTTAGTCAATTGATAGATCGCTTTTCTGGGTAATAGGTAATAAACCCTTAATAAGGGTAAATAAACCCTTCAAAAGATAATAATAATAATAATAATCTGGTCACTCAAACCCACGACTGTTTGTGGGGACGCTGCTGTGCGCAATTGGCTGCCGCATTTCGCTCAAAAAAAAGACACAGTCAATTAACTTTACAGTATATCCTGTGGAGAGCTCGGAGACTAGAAGACATGATAAGGCGCTGCATCAAATGGAAAGATTATTATTATTATATTATTATTGTTGTTCAGCGATTGAAGTCTTTGTGAGCCGTTCCTGCTCTAGCCCAGCTCCGCAGTCACACTGAGATTAACCCGAGCCAATGATTAACAGATGCACTTGCACTGTGACCCGGTACACTGCTCACCGCCCTCGAGCCAGCTCCCGGCTGACATCATCGCCAAACAGCAGCAGGTTACAGAAAGTCGGGCTTCCCTCTACTGGGACCTCAGCCACTGAGACCCCCTGGCGTTCCTAGACGAACGCCCCCCAGATCCCTTCCCTTCTTGCCCTCCTCTCTCTCTCCCTCCCTCCCACGTCCTTCAAAGCCCTCAAACCCATTCATTTTGTCAACACACTTAAGCAGATAGTATGAAAAGCAATGGGCAGTGTTGGGCAATGAGCCTGACTGGACAGCCTGCTCCAGGGCAGGATGGGGGGGAGTGGGAAGGTGAGATAGAGGGACATCAAGCTCTCAAGTCAGCGCGGACTCGATGGGCCGAACCGTCTCCTTTCTCCGCTCTGTAAACCACCACAATTCGAAGCTCTCCCTCCACCCGCTGCTCCCTCCCTCGTCACCTCAGTGAAGCTCTTCGCAAGCTTCAGGCTGAGTGAGCAGCACCTCCCACCACCCCTTACCGGGTGTCGTGCTCCGCCACTGCCAAGCGCTCTGGGGCGCTACCCTGCATGAGGGGGTGCTGCGTAAATGCAAATTGTTGCTGTTGTTGACAGTGCGTCCCTAAGTCCTCTGTGTTTTATCATCACAGTGTACACTGCACCTTCCCACACACAGGCAAGGATACACACATACACACACACACATAAACACACACACACAAGGCAGTGAAATACCAGAGGGAAAATAGCTCACACTATTACTCTCTGTGAGACTTGTCTGTTTCTACTAACACACAGCAAATTCACTGCCAGTGGCACCAACATACCTCCTCCGCTCAATAAACCTCAAGAATTTATACGCAAGAAAGTGCAGCTAAACCCAGACACACAGACACACACAGACACACACACAGACACAGTCACACAGACACACACAGAGTCACACAGACACAGACATAGACAGACACATAGACAGACACATAGACACACACAGACAGACAGTGGTTTGAGGGGCAATGGAATGTAACGAGGGGATCATTGCCGTGAAACAAACTATACACCTCTGTGTCTGTCTGTCTGTCTCTGTGTCTGTCTGTCTGTCTCTCACGCACACTCTTGTCTGCCTCTTGTATCTCACACTCTCCTCCTATCTAATCTATTCATCTCTCAAAATTTCTTTTTCACTTTCTATCTGTCTCTGTCTCACACACAAACTGTCTGTCTCTCACTATCTCTGTCTCAGTGTCTGTCTGTCTGTCTCTCGCACACACTCTCCCACTATGTGTCTCTCTCACAGTGTCTTACACTCTGTCTCTCTCCCTCACACATACTCTCTCTTACTCTGTGACTGTTTCACTCTCTCTCTCGCTCTGTGTCTCCCTCTCTCTCACTCTCACTCTGTTTCTGTGTCTCACTCTCTCACACACTCTCTCACTCTGTGTCTCTGTCTCTCACTCTCACACACTCTCTCTCTCACTCTCTGCCTCTCTCTCTCACCCTCTCTCACACACTCTCCCCCTCTGTCTCACCCTCTCACACACTCCCCCCCTCTGTCTCACCCTCTCACACACTCTCACTCTCTGCCTCTCTCTCACCCTCTCTCACACACTCTCCCCCTCTGTCTCACCCTCTCACACACTCTCCCTCTCACTCTCTGCCTCTCTCACACACTCTCCCCCTCTGTCTCACCCTCTCACACACTCTCCCTCTCACTCTCTGCCTCTCTCTCTCACCCTCTCTCACACACTCTCCCCCTCTGTCTCACCCTCTCACACTCCCCTCCCTCTCACTCTCTGCCTCTCTCACACACTCTCTCCCTCTCACTCTCTGCCTCTCTCTCTCACCCTCTCTCACACACTCTCCCCCTCTGTCTCACCCTCTCACACACTCCCCCCCTCTGTCTCACCCTCTCACACACTCTCCCTCTCACTCTCTGCCTCTCTCACACACTCTCTCCCTCTCACTCTCTGCCTCTCGCTCACCCTCTCTCACACACTCTCCCCCTCTGTCTCACCCTCTCACACACTCTCCCTCTCTGCCTCTCTCACACACTCTCCCCCTCTGTCTCACCCTCTCACACACTCTCACTCTCTGCCTCTCTCACACACTCTCTCCCTCTCACTCTCTGCCTCTCTCTCACCCTCTTTCACCCACTCTCCCCCTCTGTCTCACCCTCTCACACACTCTCCCTCTCACTCTCTGCCTCTCTCACACACTCTCCCCCTCTGTCTCACCCTCTCACACACTCTCCCTCTCACTCTCTGCCTCTCTCACACACTCTCCCCCTCTGTCTCACCCTCTCACACACTCTCACTCTCTGCCTCTCTCACACACTCTCTCCCTCTGTCTCACCCTCTCACACACTCTCCCTCTCACTCTCTGCCTCTCTCTCTCACCCTCTCTCACCCACTCTCCCCCTCTGTCTCACCCTCTCACACACTCTCCCCCTCTGTCTCACCCTCTCACACACTCCCCCCCTCCCTCTCCCCCCCTCCCTCTCCCCTCTCCCCTCACCTCAGCCGGAGGTTGCCCATCAGCTCGGCCATGCTGACCGAGTCCAGCAGCACCAGGTCTGCCTTCCCGAACTCCAGACTCTCCTGTTCCGCCATCTCTCCTCCTCCTCTCTGTCCTCTCCTCTCTCTCTCCTTCCCCCTCTCCCTCGGCTCCCAGTCCTGGATCGGGAGCGCGCACTGGGAGAGGCGGGAGCGCGCACTGGGAGAGGCGGGAGCGCGCACTGGGAAGCGCGCACCCGAGAGGTGATGTGTGGAGTAACTTTCCTCCGGTCCGCGATGCGCGAACTCTTCCCGATTCTCTGTCGGTCCCACAGCCCGGGGGGGGGGGGGGGGATGCTGTCTGTGTGCGGGGGGGGGGGAATGCTGTCTGTGTGCGGGGGGGGGGGGGGGGGAATGCTGTCTGTGTGCGGGGGGGGGGGATGCTGTCTGTGTGCGGGGGGGGGGGGGAATGCTGTCTGTGTGCGGGGGGGGGGGGGGGATGCTGTCTGTGTGCGGGGGGGGGGGGAATGCTGTCTGTGTGCGGGGGGGGGGGGGAATGCTGTCTGTGTGCGGGGGGGGGGGGGGGAATGCTGTCTGTGTGCGGGGGGGGGGGAATGCTGTCTGTGTGCGGGGGGGGGGGGGAATGCTGTCTGTGTGCGGGGGGGGGGGATGCTGTCTGTGTGCGGGGGGGGGGGGGGGGGGGAATGCTGTCTGTGTGCGGGGCGGGGGAATGCTGTCTGTGTGCGGGGGGGGGGAATGCTGTCTGTGTGCGGGGGGGGGGGATGCTGTCTGTGTGCGGGGGGGGATGCTGTCTGTGTGCGGGGGGGGGGGATGCTGTCTGTGTGCGGGGGGGGGGGATGCTGTCTGTGTGCGGGGGGGGGACAGGCTGTGGGGGCTGAATGGCCTCCTCCTGTTCCTGACTTCAGTAACCCCCCCACCTTCACCCCAGGGTATCCCCCTGTGTAGCCCCCCTGACCCAGGGAAGACCCCCCAAGGGCTGGAGGACATCGGGAGGATCTCGAAGTGCTTCCCTTGGATAAAGTGTAGTGACTGTGTGTTTTGTACACGTGATGGGTTGGATGATTATCTCTAAGGTTCTGGGACATTCTGGGGAAATCGAACACCTTGAGGGGGGGGTACGCTGGGTGAGGGGTACGCTGGGTGAGGGGGGGTACGCTGGGTGAGGGGGGCTATGCTGGGTGAGGGGGGGTTCGCTGGGTGAAGGGGGGTATGCTGAGTGAGGGGGCGTACGCTGGGTGAGGGGGGGTACGCTGGGTGAGGGGGGGTACGCTGGGTGAGGGGGGCTATGCTGGGTGAGGGGGGGTTCGCTGGGTGAGGGGGGGTATGCTGAGTGAGGGGGCGTATGCTGGGTGAGGGGGGTACGCTGGGTGAGGGGGGTACGCTGGGTGAGGGGGGGTACGCTGGATGAGGGGGGGTACGCTGGGTGAGGGGGGGTATGCTGAGTGAGGGGGCGTACGCTGGGTGAGAGGGGGGCTATGCTGGGTGAGGGGGGGTACGCTGGGTGAGGGGGGTATGCTGAGTGAGGGGGGGTACGCTGGGTGAGGGGGGTGGGCGGTGAGGGGAGGGGGCTGTATAAATCCAAGTTGTTGTTGTTGTGGTGGGGGGGTTCCAGGCCTGTGTTCGGGGTGTGACCTACACAGGAACCTGAGGCCACACCTGACACCAACCTGTCTTTCTCCTTCAGCTGCAGTTCTCACCCCGGGGAGTTCTCGGCTGTTTTGCTTTCGGTTCATTTTGATGTCAGGTTTATCCTCTATCTCACCCCCCGACTCCGTGACAGTAAAAAATTCTCCTAAGATTTTTATATTCCCCCCACCACCGCCCCCCATCCCCTCCCTCCCCCCGTTGACCCCAGACCTGCCCGGCTGGTGATACATTAATCTATTGATCTGAAGTCGGTCCGTCAGGTTGGGGAGGGATTAATTTCCATAATTTGTTTGTGATGTTAGAGGGTTAAGCATTTTGCCCGCGGGAACAATCAATGGAAATTATACCTTATCCACATCTGACGTGTTTCTCCTACAAAATATACCGTCAATTTACTTTACAGAATATCCTGTGAAGTGCTTTGAGATGTCTCGAAGACGCGATAAGGCGCTGTATCAAATGTAAGGATTATTATTTACGTATATGGGTATAATAATATGTATATGCTTACAACTATTGCCTACATACAACAGTCACTACGCATCACAGCAATTACCTTGTGCAGGACTGTATATATGTATGTGGCAATATGGATAATATATGTGTCTATAATCTGTGTGTATATATATATCTGTGTATATATCTATATCTGTGTGTATTTATATCTCTGTGTATATCCTTGTGTGTATACCTGTGTGTATATCTCTGTGTGTGCATACCTGTGTGTATAGCTCTGTGGGTGTATACCTGTGTGTATAGCTCTGTGTGTGTATATCTCTGTGTGTGTGTATATCTCTATGTGTATATCTCTCTCTGTGTAAATCTCTCTCTGTATATATCTGTGTGTATATATCTGTGTGTATCTGTGTGTATATCTCTGTGTATATATCTGTGTATATCTGTGTATATATCTGTGTATATCTGTGTGTGTATATCTCTCTGTGTGTATCTGTGTATATATCTGTGTGTATATCTGTGTATATCTGGGTGTGTATATCTCTCTCTGTGTATATCTGTGTGTATATCTGTGTATATCTGTGTGTATATCTCTCTCTGTGTATATCTGTGTATATCTGTGTGTATATCTCTCTCTGTGTATATCTGTGTGTATCTCTGTGTATATATGTGTGTATATCTGTGTATATCTCTGTGTATATCTGTGTGTATATCTGTGTATATCTCAGTGTATATCTATATATAATGTGTCTATTGCACATTTTTAAATGAAGACATAGTCATTCTGTAATGCGGTGATTATTGGCCTCTGTCTCCCTCCAGTGGTCAGTCCGCAGTACTGCAGTACATCCCCTGATTCACTCAAGTCCATCAATGAGTGCGTTACAGCAGTAACCGAAACCTCCAGAGAAACACAGAGAGAGAGTGAGTGAGTGATTGAGGTTGTAAATCCCTATTGTTTGGAGCAGCTGAACTATCGCTAGAGGCAGAGCTGAGGCTTAGTAAGGGATCCTTCTTCTCAAAAGAAAGTTACATAAGTGTATGATAGGATTATACAGCACAGAAGGGGCCGTTCGGGCCATCGTGTCTGTGTCAGCTCTTTCAAAAGAGCTTTTCCAAATCAACCCCACTCCCCCGCTCTCTCCCCATAGCCCTGCAAACTTGTCCTCCCCAAATAATTACCTAAAAACGCTATATCAAATGCAAGGATTATTACTATTATTATTATTATTACCTACTTTTCTCTTAAAAGTCGTTATCGAATCGGTTTCCACCACTCTTTCAGGCAAGTCCCTTTCCCCACTGTCTAGAGAGAGCGGTGGGGAAGGGGACCTTTGAAATGGGAGTCAATATCAGACCCAGGAGCTCAGTGTGGTGAGAATGTGTGAGTCTGACAATGGCCAATAGCTCCCTGAGTCTCCGAGAGAGAAAGGAGGTGACTGTAGCCGATATGACCTGGATTTGCTCACTCAATCCACGACTGTTTGTGGGACACAGCTGTTCGGAATTGGCTCCCATGTTTCGCCCGTAAACGATACAATTCACTTTACAGTATATCCTGTGAAGGGCTTTGAGACGTCTCGAAGACATGATAAGGCGCTATATTATTATATTTTGGAAGTTTCAGTACAGTATGAAAAGCAGCAACAGGAGGAGGGAAGCCCTGTGAATAGTACAAGAGGTGAGGGCTTTAATTAGGGAGCGCACAATTCATTCCGTTAAGTGCAGAACGAAAAGCACATCTCTGTAAAGACTGACTCGATGTTTGCTAAGTGACAGGTACTGATGGAGAGACAGCCTGACTGAGCAGCCCAGAGCACCCCCAGCTGGCAGCAACATGACCAACCACCCCTTGTGGCTTCAGTAACTTTACAGAAGGGTCACAGCATTTGCTCCGTTAATTGTGGTGTATCTGTCTGTCTGTGTGTGAGTGTGAATGTGTGTGAGTGAATGTGTGTGAGTGTGTGTGCCACAGTTACCAACACCTGAGCAAGACCGGCAATGCTGCCTGATCCACGTTTCATGCCCAGGAGATGGTTTCACGCTGGATGTTTGCCAAAGGCGGTGACTTGGCATCTCTCGCTGTCTCTTTCTGCCCCTCTCTCTGTCTCCCTCTCTCTGTTCTACCTGAGGATGTTGGGCTGCGCTGAGAATGGAATTCCTCTTCCCATCCCGACCAACAATCCTCCTGATCATAATCCAGTTGGATGTTCACTGTGTAGCTGTTTATGGGAGCTCGCTGCGCACACACTGACTGCCTACACTCACTACACTGTAAAGGAAGCACTTTGAGAAGTCTTGATGTGCTGGGCACTGTATCCAGCGCAAGGAGTGTTATGAGGGCAGCAGGTGCCTTGGAGGGAGGGAGGCGGCGGGTGGGGGGAGAGCACCAGCTGTCCTATCCCGAGGGAGATGTGAGGAAATTGAAGAGGCCGAGGCTGATGGAATAACCTGGGCACGTGTGGTGTTGGCTCAAATATAGCCTGGTGACCTCGCTGGGAAAGCCATCACCTAGCAACCAGGACCACTGTTGGCAAACTGGGTGACACACGGCACAGTTATCTGCTGCCTCGTCCATTAATATTCACCTCCTCCGCAGCCAAGAGGGGGGAGGCCGGAGGTGGGGTTGGATGACTCACTCGGGTTGGGGGAGTGGGGGGGGGGGCTGACACCTCCAGTTACAAGGGTAAAGGCCCTGCTCTGGCCGCTGCTGTTGCTCTAACCCATTCCCTGCTCCCTCTCTCTCTCCCCATCGTGTCTGTGCTGGTGCTCGCTCCCCCCACTGGAGCTCAAAGAACATAAGAATTTTATTAAGCGAAAGAAGATCAAAGTTCATCGGGTTCACCTTCCACCATCCCAGCCATCAGGTGACATGTCGTGTCCCAAACTATACACTGTGTCCCTACTCTCACCCCCGCGCCCCCACCCCCACCATAAAATCCTAGAATCGTACAGCACAATAAAGAGGCCATTCGTCCCCATCGAGTCTGTGCGGCTCTTTGAATAGAGCAATTAATGTCAATCCCACTCCCCGGCCCTTTCCCCATAACCTGCAAACCCGTCCTCCT